GTTCTGACCCATATAGCAAATTAACCCACAGCATCACACCAGGACTCCAGTCCCTCCTGATAACTTGCCAGTCTCACCCCCTTCTAAGGAACATTCTGGCTGTCCTTCTTCTAAGACAGATTTGTTCATTCTTCTGGCATTCTATGGTATTTTCAGTATTCTTCTCCAACACTATAACTCATATGCATCAATTCTTTGCTGGTCTGCCTGATTCATTGTCTAGCTTTCACATGCATCTGAGGCAATTGAAAATGCCATGCTTGGATCAGGCATACTTTAGTCCTCAAAGTGACATCTTTGCTTTTTAATACTTTAAAGTGGTGTTTTTACAGCAGATCCAATACATCCTTGATTTCTTCTCCCCGTCCCCCATCCTTGGTTTCTTGACTCCTGCTTCCAGGAGCATTGACTGTGGATCCAAGTAAAATGAGAGTCTGATCATTTTAATGTTTTGTTGTGAAGTCCGGTCAAGTCGGTTCATACTCCTCTCAACCCTACATCAGATTGCCAAGGCTGCCAATTTTTATGGGAGCAGAAGGCCTCTTCCTACAGAGCAGCTGTCTTGCGGTTCCCAGTCCAGTAGCGCCATCTCACTCCATATACATGGCATTCATATGTTATATATGGCAATCATGTTAACTTTTAATTTTGTTTGCCATGTAAGGCTATGATTTTAATTTGCACAAATTTATCTTAACAAAAAAACGAATTGTCCTATGTTTTCTCTCGGTGGTAGTTCTGTGGACATTTCCTCAGGAATCAGCAGTTCCCCATCTGTTCCCTAAAACCATAGAAAGATAGTTTATCAGTTTCCTTATGAGATAGAAGAAAGGGCAGAGAAGAACACCATGTCCGAATGGTACTTCCTTCTCTGCCTAAGGTCTCCTGAGGACACCAGTCTCCCTCCCAGCTCCATGTGGACCTGGGCTTTACATCTTGATGCCTTGAATGTGTGATCCGTCTGCATGTGACTGGCCAGGACTGCAGAGAGAGTAGTTAGTATAAGACCAAAAGGCTAATAGCCCTTCTAATCAGTTACCATGTGGTGCTAGTCTTTCAAAGGTAGTGTAGTATAGTTTGTGTGTGGACTGATACATACATAACACACACACACACACACACACACACATATATATATATATATATAATCTTAATATAAAAATGATAGAAAATGAGAACTGTACCATTAGGGATAAAGTTAATCCGACCTCACCTTTTTCAAATTAACAAGAACCAAAGTGCTGAGGAATCACCCAGTTCCTGGGGCACAAGGAGCTGTAGATGATTGTGGTCAGGCTCAAGTCTTCCCTTCCTGATCCAGTGCTCTGTTCATATGAAATAGTGCTTCCCCACATAAGCCCTCGGAAGCTCTGTGCTGTTTTGGCTATGAAAAACAATGGTAGTTTTTCATTTGTTGTGAAGTGTAGAAGATGACAAAATAAAAAGAAACAGGCCAAAAGGAAGTTAATAGAAAAAAAAAAAAAAAAACCCTACACTAAGCAGGGTGCTTGGTGTGAATGCGGTGACTGCACCCACTGCAGGCTTTTGTTTCTGAGGTCACACTGGGGGGAAGTGAAACAATGTGCCTTCAGACTCGCCCAGTCACCTGATGTTCCCTGGAGGGAATTGCTGTTGCTTACCAGTATATATTCCTGTCTTAGTTCCTTCAGGGACAGTGAGGTGTGTAGCTGAGTCCCTTGTGTCCTATGTTCTCAGTGACTTAGTTCCCCAATCCCTACTGATAGGCAGAACCATTTCTTATTAAGGTTGAGTAGCACGAAACTCATGGTTCCCACCTCTCTGTGCAACCCTGGAATTGCCATGAGAGCTTTTTAACAAGCTGCTCAAATTTATGGTCAGGGGTAAGGCCAAACTTTGGTAAGGTTTGTAATGCTCCGTATTATGCAGCCGAAATGAGAATCAGAGCTTCATTCAGCCTTGTGGGTCTCAAACTTCAGTGCATCAGAATCACTAGGAGGGCTTGTGAAAACACACACTGCTGGTCTTCAAGCCCTGAGTTTCTGGCTCACTGGGTCTGGCATAAGGCCTGACTTGTTGTTGTTATTATTGTTATTAAATGCCATTAAGTTGGCTCTGACTCATAATGACCCTGCACAGAACAGAGCAAACCACTGCCCGGTCGTGTTAGTTCCCATGAGCTAACTAGTCTGGAATGAAGAACACACTTTGAGAACCATTGCTGTAAACCACTACCAGTGGCCAACAATTGCTTATGCTAGATAATGGGATGAGATCAGACATGAGGCAGACCACCTCGAATTGCTCCCTCACCACCATCCATACCACTTGACCACTAAGGGGAAGGAAGGTCACAGGAAAAGGGGAGGTTTTCCAAGGAACTAAGCAGTGAGCAACTCTCTGTTTGGAGCAGAGTGGACAACTTGGAAAATACAGGGTGATAAATTAAACTTTCCCTCAGAACAGTGAGAGTGGCCCTTGGGCCTCATCTAGGCTAGCTGTGCTTCTTGTACACATGAGGGAATGGAGGTCCCACACTGAAGTGGTGATACAGCCAGGTCTGTAATTACCGTATTACGGATCTTTCCGTAGTGCCACAGTTCCCTACTCAGCTGCAGCTGAGTCTTGAGGCATGGACGAGCATTCTTCAGTCTGCAGAAGTCACTCATGGGGTCTAGGGGATGGTGCAACCACAGGAAATAGTTAAGATTATGAGGTTGGGCTAAATTATCCTTAGATTTACAGCAGTGTTTCTCGAAGTATAACGGCTGGACCAGAAGCCTCAACGTCACTTGGGAAGTTACTACAAATGCAGTCTTCTTGGGGCCCACCCCAGCCCAGTCATACCCAAAGGCCTGGAGTTGGGCCCAGCAATCTGCATTGTAAACTGCTCTCCAGCTGACTCTGATGTTGAGAAACACTGGCTTAGGGAAAGCCTGATTGAATAAAGCCGCTAATTGCCTACAAGAAAATTTTTTAAACATTGAATATCTTTTCCTTTTGGTGCATTCCCCTTAATATGTGGTACACCCTAGTGGTACAGTGGTCAAATGTTTGAGTGCTAACTGAAAGGTCAGCAGTTTGAACTCACTGACCAGTCCACTGGAGAAAGATATGGCAGTCTGCTTCTGTAAAAATTACAACTCAGGGGCAATTCTGTTCTGTCCATAGGCTCACTATGAGACGGAAATGGCTCACTGGCATTGGGTTTATGCTCAGTATCAGAATCTGGTGGTTTGGCTAGCCATCGTGGGTTATAGAATAACACTTAGGGGTGCTTTGTTCAGAATGTGATCTGGTTCTGATTTCAGCTGTGCCACTCACATGCTGAAAAACTAGGGGCCTCTATTACCATGTGTATAAAAAGGAAGTCTGCTGATGTCCAGAGCACCCAAGGTGGAAACAACCCAAGTGTCTGCTAACAGCTGGATTAACAATATGATACATCCTTGCTGTATACTTCCTTCGGTCATAAAAAGGAAAGAAAGTTTTGATCAACTTTGAAAACATTACTCTCAAATAAGTCAGATATAAAGGGCAATATTATATGATCCCCCTTTTATGAGGTATCTCAAATAGGCAAATGCTTGGAGACAGAAAGTATAATAGAAGTTACCAGGCGTTGGGAAGTTTGTGTGGAAGGAGAAGCTATTGCCTACTGAGTACAGAATTCCTGTTTAGGGTGATGAAAAACTTCTGGAAATAGTGGTGGCTGCACCACATTGCGAATATGCTTAATGCCAATAATTGTACACTTAAAAATGGTTTAAAATGATACATTTTACATTATGTTTATTTTACCACAATTTTAAAAAAATTACAGCTCTATAAAATAGATAAGACACGGCAATCCCAGGTCCTCCTAACCCCCACCCAGGCTGGCAGGAACATTGGTCTTGGTGCACTTTCTCCCCGGAGCTTGAGCTTACTACTCACATCCCTCTTCCTCTTCCATCCAGGCCTCTCTGTCAGCCCAAGAATAGGTCAGCTCTGAAATCCCTTCAAGCTTTAAGGAAGCCATATAGTGATGCTTTTTGTGCTCAACTGTGGGTTTTAGGAAGTGCTGAAAACCACTGTTATATAATAGTGATGACTTTGACTCAAGTTGATAACCCATTATTACAGTGTCAACATTTGGAGGGAGACAGTGTTGTCCCCTGAGGCTGCTGGGGGGCAAGAGTGAGGGTAGACAAAATGCGGGGGCTACAAAGGCAAGAAGTGACTGGGTTACAAGCTTTCCAGAGGGCGTGGAGGAAGGTAGAATCTCTACTGAGTAGTTGTATCCAATCTGTGTAGGCGGGGCTGATGAAAGGAAATGCTGCTAGATCTCTTGTGATACAATAGTGAATAATTGTTACCAGGATTGATTTGAGGGTTGGGAATGTAAAGGTAGACGTTTTGTAGCAAGGAGGGGAATGGTTAACTTTGCAGTCTAGGAGCAGAGGTCCCTGGGACCATCAAGGGAGAAGAGCAGAGAGTGGGACCCTATCCAGAGAAGCAGTGATGCCTGAGATGGAGACAGAGAGGATGAGACGTGGAGAGATGGAGCGGCTAGGGACTTTAGACACAGAGAGGGAGAGGGGCTGTGTGCTGATGACCGGGGGAAGGGGGGAAGGCTTGTAGTATATACCCTTTGGTGGGTTGATGATGCATGGAGGAGGGGATTGTAACCATGGCAATGAAACGATATACGATACGATGAATGTAAAACTAATGTTCTCCCATGTAAACTATCACATAATTCACATTAAAACATTTAAAAAAAAAAATTAAGGTTAGAGCCTGTGTTCAGGTGATTTTGGGCCTTAGAATTGGCAAGGCACCTTATGCTGATGCCAAGGGGACGAGGAACCGAAGCTTCAGAAGAGAGAAGGTCTGATGGCAGGCAACCAGGAATGACTCTCAGCCCCACCATTTAATCTATAGCTGTGTTTTACCCCGTTTGTGAAATCAGTTTTAACTTTTATACATCTTTACACGGTTCTGTTACTGTTGGTGAATGGCCTTTTCTTTTCTTTCAGTTAGTGACAGGAGTATGGGAAGGCAAATACAATTTCTTCTGTCAGGGAACACGCAACGCAGGAGAATCAGACATGAAGGTATTGTACTACTACTACTTTCTTTTCATTTATAGCATTTATTATGTAGTTGTTTTCTGTTTTTAATAAGGAAGGTGTACAAAAGACAAAGGTAGCCCATAACCTACTGTCTAGGTAATCTCTGAACAGTAAAAAGAAATAATAATAAAAGCAGTATATACACATGGTATGAAAAGTAAGGTTTCCCTCTCTGCAAAACTATTGTTAATAATTTCGGCAGCAAGGGCAGACTGCATGCATTTGTCAGTATTTGTGCTGCATTAGGAGTCCTGGTGTGGCGCTGTGGGTTAATGCACCAGACTGCAAAGTTGTTTGAACTACAAGGTCAGCGGTTCAAGTTCACCAGCTGCTCCTCAGAAACCCTATATAGGGTCTTCATGGGTTGGAATCAACCCGACGGCACTTAACAACAACATGCTGCATTAACATAACAAATGAAGAAGCCTTGGTGGCGCTGAGGGCCAGGTGCTGGGAGAAAGCTGAGGCTGTCTGCTCCTGTAAAGATAGGTGATCTCAGAAACCCTCGGTAGGGTCTCAGGAGTCGGAACCAACTCCAGGGCAGTGGGTTTAATATAAATGAGTTCATACGGATAATGTCCTAAAATTGGAAATCGTTCTTCTAAGTTGCCTCCGAATGCTGGTGTTAAAGACAGGACCTGGCTTCCACTGTAGGTGAGGCTTCTTTGTTTTGTGTTTTAAATAAAAGGCAGGCAGGAGATGTGCAGTCATAGGGCTGACTTATTAATTTGTCAGCTGCCTGACACATCTGATTGCTTTTCCTCTTTATCTCGTATTGTGTTACCTGCCCCGTGCCAGTCCTGACCTCAAAGGTGTCCTCTGGCTGGTTTCTGTATACTGATAACTGCACAGACCACTTCCAGAGTTTTGAACCCTGAGCCTCCTGATTTTGTGTCATCTGGAAGGTGGACCCTTTTAAAACTTTCCATGTTGTCATTGCCAATTTCCCCTAGAGTATTCTTTTTAAATCACCTCCTAGAGGAACCCCAGCTCCTCACAGCGGAAGGGTGTTAGGAGCCAGTGGGGCACTCGGGCTTCCCTGAGTTAGTGTCGGACTCTGGGATGCCAGTAAAACATGTCGCAGGTAAAATTTCAGAGCAGGCCCATTGGAAAAACAGCCTAAGCCTTTCAACACCTTCCTTCTAGATCATTCGTGTCCTCTGGTGGTATTACTTCTCCAAACTCATAGAATTCATGGACACCTTCTTCTTCATCTTACGCAAGAACAACCATCAGATCACGGTCCTGCATGTGTACCACCACGCCTCGATGCTGAACATCTGGTGGTTTGTGATGAACTGGGTGCCCTGTGGCCACTGTAAGTGTTATGGGTGCTGGCTTGGGTCTAGGTATGAGCATGGAGGCTAAACTGAAATGAAAAAGTGCTGTCTTTATGGGTGCTCTGAAGTCAGGCATTTGAACTTTGTGTCTTAGCTGCATACAGTGATCATTTGTATGGCCTATGCGAATCAGTAAGCTGACATCACTTTTTTTTTTCTAGTTTAGTAAATGACTGATTTGGCAAGATAAAGGATGTAACAGCTTCCCAGCTTGGGAGGCATATTAAAAAATAAGGATAATGTTCTCTGCCCTGGAGGGCACCTTCCCCCAGGCTGTGTCTTATCCTTATTTCTGTGAGATTTGGAATGTGTTTGCCGAACAGGGACAGGGCAGTGCCATTGAGTGAGTTTCATGCAACATAATTATGAGAGAGAGTTGTAGCTATTACTCTATTAGGAAGTTTCCACATGTCTTCATCAGTTGACCGTCACATTCCTGAAGCACGTTTATCAGGATGTCTTCTGTGACAAGTACTGAAATTTGAAGTAAATTCTCTAAGGAAGACATGTTTATCTTTTGGAAAGCTTATGGTTTGGGCTCTCTTACCATTTTCAGAGATTCCGTTGTCGCTGCCAGACTCAGCTTGGAGTTTTAACAAGTGTGTCAGGCAGAATTCCTGTCATCCTGACTCTAAAGAGTCTGGGTTTGATCGTGCATGGCTTTCTTCCTAGGATCACACTGCCCTTGGTTAACTAGGACCACTAAGGTTCACACAGTCACAGAATTTAGAACTAGAAAGGACATGCAAGATGTGCTCCTTAGATGTACACCCGAGAAAACTGACTCTGAGTGGTCAGTGATAATCAGCCTCCAGCTCCTTTCATAATGTTTTTTGTCACCATCCCACCGTGAGAGTGTAGATTAACTGACCTTTCTAAAAGTGGGGAGGACAGTGTCTCCACAGGATAAGCATTAGACTGCATATGCCACAAGGTCAGCAGTTTGAGCCCACTGGCCCCCCTGCAGGAGAAAGATGAGGCTTTCTGCTCCCGCAAAGATTTAAAGCTTCAGAAGTCATATACAGGGTCTCTGTGAATCAGAAGCGACTCAACAGCACTTAACAACAGTAGAGACAGCACCTGTTTACATTAGGAGACTGCATTGGCTCTTCAGGAAACTTGCAGCATGGCAGATTTTTTTGTACCTTGTACCTGAGAAACGGAACCAGATAATAGCTCACCTGGCCAGTTACTATCTAGCTACGTTAAGAGTAGAAATTCTTTCCCTGACCCAGCCTTGTGTCCAAGGCTTTGACTGCACATGGCATTTTGTGGTGGTTTACTGTGTGGCTGGAATCCTGATGTGGTGCGTTAAGATAAGCTAACCACAAGGTTTGCGGTTCAAACCTACCAGCTGTTCCTTGCAAACCTGTACCAGGGTCTCAATGAGTCAGAAGCAACTTGATGACACTTAATAATACCATCTGTGCAGCCAGGAGGAAAAGAAAGTCTGAAAAATAACTAGTGGTCTTACTGGAAATGTGAGGATCCAGAGATTAAATGTCGTTTTTTGCCCTAAGACCCTGGCCTGGCACAGCCTCAGCACTGCTCTCCTGGGAGGTAGTTAGGAGGAGGTGACTTCGAAGGGATCTCCAAACCTCAGCACATTTGTAGAAACATGTTGTCCATTTGCTGTCCAAAGCTTTCAAAGCAACACAAAAGACAGGTGGTAAATAAAAGCAACCACCTCGGGGCATCAGTGGGGGCTAGAAACAAAGCCTGCAGGTGCTCGAGCCAGGCAGGTGGAATACAGTGGAGCCACAGCTCTGCTGACCCCTGGCTTAAAGCATCCTAATGGCAGCCTGCCTGCTGAGTGGAAGTTGCATTCTGGTTACACATTCGTGCAGTGCCCACTGCTGCAGTATCTGCCAACCACTGATCAGAAATGTGTCTTTCTTTCTGATTTTTTTTTTTTTTCTTGCCTGTTATGCATAAGACACTGATGTGTCCTCCTTCCCAAACCTCCTCTGTTCCTGCAGCTTACTTTGGTGCCACACTCAACAGTTTCATCCACGTCCTCATGTACTCATACTATGGCCTGTCGTCTGTCCCTTCCATGCGTCCATATCTCTGGTGGAAGAAGTACATCACTCAGGGGCAGCTGGTAAGTGACCCAGCTTCTCTCTCCCCCAGGACATGCTTCCTGGTGGACACAAACCTCTTCCTGAGTGAAGACGTCTTGCTGCCTCCCAACGGTTGTTGACTAGCATCTAAAATGTGCCTTCCTACCCCTTCTCATTTGATCCAATTATCATATCTGTGAAAATAGAGCAGGAAACTTTGTTAATTTTATTAATGAGGAAACTATGCCCTTGGCCAGACGAATTGCACAGTAAAAATGGAAATCATATTACCTGACTTTCAAAGCCATTTCTTTGGCCCTTAATTTGTACATGTGTGTGTATGTGTGTTTTCTAGTTGTATAATCTAGATTCCGAGGTAAAAACTTGATCTGTATTGAAGAATTTCAGAAGGAGCTATGAAGTTACCTGAATCCAGTATGTGTCTAGCTCATTCAGCAATAAGGATGTTTGCTAAGGCAAATGCCAAATGACCTCTGAACTCTGCCCATGCTTAATGGAGCACCTGTTGCTATAAGATTAGCACCTGGTAATGGGCCCTTTCACACTCAGTCAACTGTTGGCACATGGTGGTTATTTCTCAACATTTCCCAGTTGGCAGTGCGTGCCTTTCCCCAGGAGCTCTGATGGTGCAATGGTTAAACACTTGGTGCAACCTCTCCTCTTTTGTAAGCTAATTAATAATCAAAATAGAGCACAGTGGATCGGTAGGATAAGCACTGGGCTGTGAAGGTCCAGTGAAGCACTGGACCGCAGAAGAAAAATTTACAGCCTCAGAAACCCTATACAGGGTTTGTTAGGAGTCAGAAGTAATTTGAAGGAACTGAAAAACTGCTAAATGCTGACCTTGATTGTATGTCAGGCAGATGTGCTAATAATAATAAGCTGCTCACATGGATTGTTCCAGTAGCCCAAGCTCAGATTATTAGCCCCATTTTATAGATGAGGAACACTGAGGCAATAGGCCAAAGCTAGCTGACTGTGGAATGTGGACATTAAACCCTTAACCTTGGCCTTCCTTATCAACAGCTTCTCAAAACAAACTCAAATGAGTCAGACCCTCCAAGTCCATTGTTATTTTTCGATATTAAAATAACAATCTGGGAAAATCTCTTGAGTTGCTTACATGTTTAATATTTCATTATCACCTCTTTGCCAGCTGCTTTGCAGTCCTTGTTCATTTTTCTCACCCACCTGTGAAGAAGGATAATTGTTCGATAACCTCCTTGTTACACTCCAGACAGGGTGCAGATTGCTTTATAACCCACAGCTGTGCTCTGGCAGAGGCAGCATTTTCAAGAACAGACTGGGGAAGTGGGTCACTGCTGGGCTTAGTCTTTTGAGGTAGAAGATTGCACCCAGTTTATTAAAAATTTATTAAAATGCCCTTTCTCTAACTGTTTCTCAACCTAAAGAAAGAACCGTGCTGTCTTTGGTAACACCGTTGAGTGGGTCAGAAACAGCAGTGGGCAGAATGCAGTCCCCAGCTGTCATTCTTCCTGAAGATGCACCCTCCGGAAACCACCTTATTGTAACATCTTTTAACTATTCCTCTAAGAGAGGCCCTGTGCTTTTCAAGAGCGAGCCTATGAGCTGGGCATTTTTTCCCAATGCCTTTAAATCTAGTCATCAGCCTGCACCAAACCGAAAGAGAACACAGATAAGGAATGGGAAAGGTATCCAATCTGATTGCTTCCTGGGGTACTCTAAACATACCCCTACATCCTCCTACCCTACCCCACCCCCTTTAAAAATCAAAACAACCTTACATCTCTATACTGTCCCTAAATTTTATGGGCTATGGTATAAGTAGCAATGGGGATGGCAGGTAAATGTAAAAACAAGCACACATACATAACATCAGTTTATAGGGGCCCTGGTGGTGCTATGGGTTAGACCTTGAGTTGCTAACTGCAAGACTGGAGGTTCAAATCCACCTGCTGCTCTTTGGGAGAAAGATGAGGCTATCTGTACCATTAAAGACTTAACAGTTTGAAAGCCCTACATAGGGTTGCTATGCATCGGAATGGACTTGATGTCAGTGGGTTTGGTTTGTGGATAAATGTATGGTTTTCAGATATTGTAGCATATGTGTTGTGATCTAGAAATGACTTGTTTGCCTACAAAATGATTAATGTTAATTCAAAAACTGGGGAATGGGAGTGCTAGGTGAAAAGTTCTTCTACCATGAGACCTGGTCCCTGCCCTGCTCCTGCTCAGGTGTGTCTCTGCTCTTTTCACCAGATCCAGTTTGTGCTGACAATCATCCAGACCAGCTGCGGGGTCATCTGGCCCTGCACGTTCCCTCTTGGCTGGTTATATTTCCAGATTGGATACATGATTTCTCTGATTACTCTCTTCACAAATTTCTACATTCAGGTAAATCTCCCTCTCCTCGGGTGGTTGCTTATAGGGGATTTTCCCAGCCGGTGCACTTCTCATCCACAGAGGCCTGTCGAAGGCTTTGCAGTCTGTCTCAGACAGGCACAGTTCTAGATGCTTTGCTTGGGACTCATGTAGTAAATGCAGAACCATTGAACCGATTCCCATAGCTCTCCCTCCTGACCTGCAGCAGCAGTGTGAGCGTTGGTTTTCAGTCAGCCTCAGTCCTGCTCCAACTGCTCACAGAAGAGGCCTTTCAGGATAGGTTACCTCCAGTGGAATCTGTTCCCTCTGCACCACTGCTGGTTTTCTGCCTGTCACCACCGAATGGTGGAGGTGTTGTTCTCTCCACCTGCCCCTCAGACATTGCCTGGTAGCTGTACTGCCTGCCGTTCAGGGGGAAGATATAGAAGCTCAGGAACACGGGAAGAGGCCGCTGATCCCGAGGGTGTAAGCCTGGTAGTGTCAAGCAGCCACTGGGAACTGTGGTGAGCTCGTCTTGCAGTTAAGCACTACTCCTGGCTACACTTTGCCACACCCATCAGGACTTAGGAAGTTAAAGGACAGGACCTAGTGAGGAAGCTGAAGTCATTCATCTTTATTGTGTAACTGCACACAGCAGTACAGCCAGCACTTTGTCCGTGAGGCTGGTGTCAGCGATGAAATGAGGAGAACCCACTGATGACAAGCAAGGGATGAGGGTGGGTGGAGAGGTGCTACCAGATGGCAGAAACCAGTTTGGTCACAGAACCTGTGTCCTTTCCTTCAACATACTGAGTTGAAGGCAGAGGGTGGTGGTGTTGTTAAGTAACACTGAGTCGGTTCCAACCCATAGCAATGCGGTATAGTGTTTCCGAGGAACGACTTGTGAGCCTGAAACCATCAATCTTGCAGTTCAAACCAACTTTACATCCAGCACATTAAACCATAGAGCCACAGACTCCAGAGGCAGAGTAGAGTAAAGCCTATGTTGAATTTTTTAGCTGTATATATATATTTTTAATTTTATTTACATTATAACTCCAGGAGTTTTAGTAAAAACTAATCTCAGGCTTACTAAATAGAAGAATGATTAAAACCAGTGTCAAATTTTCATTTTATTTCATAAAGGGGGAAAATGCAGAACAGAATTTCTGTATTGCCTCAACATCCCATGGAGCCATGAAGGCTACCTGAATCCCTGAAACTATTGCCCCAAGATACTCTTTTGAACTCTAAACCAGAAATACCCCCTGAAGTCTTCTTAAAACCAAACAGTGGTTTAGCTTAATTAGTAAAGAATGCCTGCCCCGTGTGTTGTGGTCTTTTGAAGAACTCTTTCTGTGGGACCAGATTGACAACAGTCTGGTTCTAAAGATCTGGTAGGAAACTTAGAGGTCGGTAGGTTTCTGTTTAATAGGGAAGAACAACTTCTAAAAGAAGGATGACAATGGCTGCACAAGTCGAAGAATGTAATCAGTGTCACTGAATCGTGTATCTAAAAAATGTTGGATTGGTGAATTTTCTGTTGTGAATATATATATATATAGCTTGATTACCTGACCACTGAAGTTCTTTCTTGTTAGAATTTACTTATAAAAGGGAATTAATCCTAGCTACAGGTAGAGTGTCATTCCCAGTACAGAAACCAGCCCTGTGCAGATATGGTTCTCACCTTCCCAATTTTTTTCAGACTTACAACAAGAAGGGGACCTCCCGGAGGAAAGACCACCTGAAGGACCATCAGAATGGATCCGCGGCGGCTGTGAACGGACATACTAACAGCTTTACTTCCCTGGAAAACCACGTGAAACCAAGGAAACAACGGAAGGATTGAAGACCAAGAGTTGAAAACCTCCAAACCACGCGTCTGATTGTAAGCACAGTAATGAGTTGTGCCCCCCGATGCTCGTTAACAGCTGCTGTAACTAGTTGGCCTACAATAGTGTGATTCATGTAGGACCTCTTTCATCAGTTCCAAACCCCTAGAAAATGTATACTGATTATACAAGTAGGCATAAGATTTTTAACATTTCTGGGCTCTCACCGACCCCTGCGCTTGACTGTGGAAAAGGGAGTATTATTGTAGTATACGACACTGCTGTTGCCTTATTAGTTTTAACATGATAGGTGCTGAATTGTGGTTCACAATTTATGAACACTGTAATCCAAACTTTTTTTTTTTTAACTGTAGATCTTGCATGTGATTGTAAATGTAAATTTGTACAATGTTACCGTAGAGAAACACACATGCCTTAAAATTTAAAAAGCAGGGCCCAAAGCTTATTAGTTCAACTTAGGGTATGTTTCAAGTTTGTATTCCTTTTTTTAATAGCTCTGTTTAGAAACATCAAAGACCATGATTTGTGGAACAACCAGTGCGTGGCATCTAGTCTCAAGTGACTTTGTAATGTGAAGTCAGAATGGCACTGTCTGTTTTGTAATATTGGCTTTTAAATCAAGCAAGCTCAAATCTAGTGGAACAGTCAGTTTTAACTTTTTAACAGATCTTATTTTTTTATTTTGAGTGCCACTATTAATAATGTAAGAAAAGAAAAGTTTGAGGGGGACTCTAAAGTGGTCTTGATGAAACTTTAAATATATATTCCTTGTCTTTTCAGATTTTAGAAAGTAGGGTGACTAGGCGGTTTTTAATTTCTGAAGTGCTAAGTGTTTTTATACAAGAAACAAAGCCCATTTTGCTTTCCAAAGTGTGGAGAGAGAGGAGATATGTACTTTTCAAAGATGGTGTTTGAATATGTATTATTTGACAGAGTCCAATTAATGAGCAATGAGGAGCTGGTTGCCAAGGTCCAAATACATATGGATTTCTGTACTGTTATCTGTATTTACACAGACTTCATTTTGAAATGTGCCTAGTTTACCAAAATGAATTAAAGGAGGGAAAGAGGGATATTAGAATTTTTAAGGTAAAATTAAACAGATAGCCACAGCATAAGAGAACCAGGATTGGATGGAGGTCATTTGTTTTAATGTAATTTAAATGTAATTGTCGTGTCTTTCTGCTTAAAATCTAAAGATTGTTTAGAACTGCTTGTTCATAAATAATACACTGTTTATTGTAAAATCATGTCTCACATGTTTGAGGCAGTGGTCAAACAGATACGAACTATCGTTTGTCATTTTAAAGTGTTGGAATTTAGCCTCTGAGAACCTTCTTCATTGAAAAGCATAAACATCGAACCACTCATGACACAGTTTAGGAAGTCATTGACAATGTATAAACTAGTTGTTGGTTTGATATGTGTGTAAATATCAGTTTACCATGCTTTAATTTTGCACATTCATACTGTAGGGAGCCACCGGTTCTCTTATTAGTCTTGTGGGTGTTCTTTTTGGAAGGAGTCACAGCATCTGTTTACATTTACCTTATCAGCCCTAGATTGTGTATATTTGTAAATGTCTGTCTTCATTCCTAGGTACTAGTTTGAAAATGACCTTACCTATGTCAATACAGAAACTATAACATTTAGTAGTGTGCTGTCAAATGTGCTTAACTCATCTGCATATACCCACACTGTTAAATAATGTCTAAACATTAATCATTAAAACATTTTTTGATTATCTGTGCTTGTGAATTACATTGTTTATATACTGCCAATTCTAAAAGACTGGAGAAAAATCTACTCTCTTTACCCTCTAGGAACTCGCCCAAATAGATGTTTAAAAGGTTTAAAAGATTATAGGAGGGGTGCTTCAAAAAGTTTGTGGAAAATAATGGGATGTTTCCATGAACTTCTTGAAGCCCCCTCTGTTGCCCAGTTCACATGAGGAATAAACAATAAGGCCTGGTAGCGGTTCCCCTACTCATATCCTCACTTCCTCCACTGAAGTTCCAGTCTGAGGATGCTCTTTTTTTTCCTCCCAACCATCCTCACCCACCCCTCAGCTAGTAGAGTTACTTCCTTAGGTCTAGATGAAAAGGTTGGCAAACTTTTTCTGTAAAAATACACTGAAGTTTAGTGGACCACATGGTCTCTATGGCAACTATTCAACCCTGCCATTGGAACATATAGATGTAGCCGCAAACAGTGTATAAATGAGTATGACAGTGTTCCAATAAAACTTTACTTTTGAAAACAGATCTCTTCACCGGGAAGTACGCAAGGGTTAAAAGAGATAGAGATAAATAGTGTTATATATACAATCCTGGAACATCAGTGTTCTATGGGAAGATACTTGGACAGATACACAGGCTGAACAGGTATGGGAAGAAGAGTGGGAGTGTGTCCACAGATGGATAAGAGTTTGACAGAAGGGTATTTGTACATGGGAATTTATCTTTGTTGCAAAAACACCTATGAATGTGGTGGAGCATACAGAGGGCAAATGATGAAAACTTCTTAGATATCATCAGACATTTTACAGCAATGAATTCTTGGGGCTTGAGGCTCAGGACCATTGTCTCAGGACACCATGATCAATTGACATAGTGTAGTCCACAAAGACAATGTCCTACTCTCTACTTTGATTAGTAGCCACTAGGATCTTAAAAGTTTATGAGTGGCCATCTAAGGTGCATCTGTTGGTCACTCCATGTGTTCAGGAAAGAGGAGCAATGAAAATTGAAAATGCATGGAATCAAGTAGTCCAGTGGAACATGTGAAAATCAGTCTCCACAACACTAAAACCAGAAGAACTACAACTGCTCTGATGTTAGAAGGTCCTGGATAGAGTGGGGGGAAATGTGGAACAAAATTCAAAATTATATATATTTTTTAAATGGCTGGGCTTACTGGTCAGGAAGAGACTAGAGAAACCTGAGACTATGGCCCTCGACCACCCTTCAGGTCTGGAATGGAACTCACCCTTGTGGACCAGTTTTCAGCTAAGCAATAGCTAGGTATATAGTAGGGACAACATCACTAGTAAGGTGTGCTTACCATGGAGTGGTCAGTCATTCGAGATAAAAGGGGCAACTTAAGGACAAAGGTAAGGAGAGATGGGAAGGCAGATAGAATTGGAAATAAGAACCACAAGGAGGACTTGGTTAACTGTCGCTACACGGAGGGGATTGCAGTCGCTGAGATGAAACAGTGTTTGCTTTGTTGAATGTAAAACTGATGATCTGCTCTGTAAACCGTCACTCAATTCACAATAAAAAATGTTTTTTTAAAAAAAAAAAATGTAGGTCTCCTGAGACTCGAGTTTGCTGACTTATGGAATAATGAGTTCCTACCTTGCTCTATTACTTTCTTTGCCAAAATTAGGTCAGATCCCAGATTCAAGCCCTTCCCAGCCCACCTATCCGTTTGACTTGGGTCCAACCACTTCACAAGCAATGACATGGACAGCCCGCCCTCCTTCCTTCTGGTCTTCATTCTTCATTGTCCTTTAGGGTGTACCTGTACCAAAAGTACACTCAGATGATGTCAGCATAGGCTGGTCTTGGATAACTTCCAGTTTGTCCATATCATCTTGAAATTATGACAATGGAAACTGCATTTCATATTTGAGATATAATTTGAAAAGTGCAGAGAGGATTGTTGGGTATTTGTGGTGGCAATCATACTTTGTCTTTCCCTTCTAAGTCTAGAACAAATTGGAAAAATAAGATACAGAAATCAGACCAGTGGAAATCAAAATCGTTCATCTCTTACGGAGAATGCTGGACAGGTGAACAGCCTAGTTCCAGTGGCTGTCCAGCTCCAACTGATGGTGACCTCGTCCGAGTAGAACGTAATCCGTGGGGTTTTTAATGACTGAATTTTAATTCCATCAGAAGTAGACTGCCAGTCTTCTTTCTTCTGAGGCACTTTATGGTGGACTCGGAATTCCAACCCTTTGGATAGTAGACGAACATTTGAACTATTTTGCCACCCAAGGACTCTGAAAAGTAGGGTACTGTTTGTCCATGTTTATCTTTGTTTTTTTCCAGGATTCTGGCATGCAGTCACATCCAAAGGTGGTTGTCCTTGAGTTCTTTTTCATGTGAACTCATTTAAAACAGGTAGATGTCTCCAGTCTTGGACTTAAATCCTAAACAGATATTGCTCCACCTTTTTATTTGGAGGTAAGTGCCCTCATTGGAAAAGAAGAGACCAAAATAGGGGTTCAGTAGTTTTGCCTGCACTCTGGTCTCTTTGTCACTGTACACCATCAGCCATTACTTCTTCCTCCAGACATCGACTTATAACATTTTTTTGTCATGCTTGACCTTTGGGTGGGGTTGGGAGAGTTACCTTCTGTCTTAGGTGGGTCTGCACCACTCATCTGAAAGGTGGAAGTTACAGTGACAATTTTGCCATAGTTGACATGGGATGTCTGGGCTCAGGTTTGGAAATCTACCTGGGCTTTTGGGTGGAAGTTATAGAAACAAGCAGAGTTGGACCCAGTAAATGGATGATGTTGGATATAGAGGTCCAGTCACGTGCTTGTCAGTGACGGTCGCCTTTCCTAGTTAATATTGATTCTGAATGATGCTTACTAGTGCCTCCTCGGTTGCTCATTGATGTGATTGTGTTGACCAGTGCTTAAAGGAATATCACCTGTGCACTGGAAAAGTGCTTGATACAGAGGACTGAGAGCTAAGTGTACTGAGCAAATCTGTGAGAAATGACTTCAGTCCCCAAAGGAGCCTTTGATGGGTGGGGACCAAAAATATCCATAGATGACATCAGCATAGAATGTATGGTGGGTGCCACTTGATTGATATAAGCCAACCCTTATAAGGGCCCAGAGAGGGAGAAGTATTCTAACCAGGTTATTAAAAACTCTGTGAACAACCTAGACTCTCAGTCCTTCAAAGACCATCTAGTAAGATGGATGAAGTTCCAAGTTCAGGAAATTTGATGTGGAGGCTGAGACAGACACAACACCCTTGAATTATTGGATATGTGAGTGGAAATAAACAGTAAATTGACCAGAGGGTGGAATCTAAGTGTTCTCATTGATAAAATCTTATTCAGAGTGCCCAGGGAGACAGTAATTACTCTGAATCATTCTCAGCTTTAGCCTGCCTTCCTGCCCAGATGCCCTCCTTCAGTTCTGCCTTCCCAGCTACTCTTAGAAGGAGCGTGCGGGTGGTTGCAATAAGACCCTGCTCACTGTTCATGCAGAGCTCTAAGAGAACTGTAAAAGACCAATGGCAGAAGTCACACCAAACTAGAGCTATCACATTTAAATTCTAAGCACACACAATTGTTTTAAAGGGAATGGGAAGAGGGAAATAGGGATGGTCTCAAACAATATGCTAAGTTCCAAAAACCAGTTGCTGAGAGGCAATTTTGACTCACAGTGTCAGAGTAGAACTGTGCTCCATGGGGTTTTTTGTTTTGTTTTGTTTTTTGAGTTTTTATTATGAATTGAGTGATGATTTACATGGGAGAACATCAGTTTTATACTCAGTGTTTCTTTGCAATGATTACAGTCTCCTCTGTGCATCATCATTCAACAGTATTTTTGCTTCTATTCCCTGTTTTTTATTTTGAGGGGAGATGTACACAAAAACACTCAGGAATATAATCACTTAAACAAAGGGCACATTCTGCAAGCCTGCCTTCTGGCCACCAGCACCTGGCCACCAGCACACAGCCTTTCTTGTTCCATGAGTCTAGAGTCCTCAGCTGCTCTCTCTCTCCATGCCCTCATCTCTGCCTACATCTCTGGTGTTGGCAAAGTTATATCTGCTTCTCTGGATAGGACCCCACATTCCACTCGTGCTCTTCTCCCTTGATGATCCTAGGGTCTTCTGTTCCAGGAAAGTAAGATAAACTACTCCCATGTTTTTGTTACAAAACTTATACCTTTACACTTGTGACATTGCAATTAGTCGTGAAAACAAATACTATTGAATCATAAGAATCTTATCCTTATCTCATTTCACCAGACCCGTCTAGATGCGATGAAAACTATTCACTAGGGATTCTACCTTCCCTTACACACTATGAAACTAAACTCTCTCTTGAAAACTTGTAAGCTAGTCACTTTGTGCCTTTATAGCCCCCCATTTTAGGTAGCCAATGTTTAATCCTAATCAACTGTGTATACAGAGGGATTAGGATTGATACTTGATGTGACGACTCCTTCCCTCTCAGTTGGTATTTTGGGCTACTATATCCGTAAGTGGAGTCCTAGTGTGGCGCTGTGGGTTAATGTGCCAGACTGCAAAGCCGTCTGCAACTGCAAGGTCGGTAGTTCAAGCTCACCAGCTGCTCCTCGTAAACCCTATACAGGGTCGCTGTGGGTCGGAACCGACTCAATGGTACTTCATAACAAATATCCATAAGTTAAGGAGCTCTGGTAGTGTAGTGGTTACGAGTGGCTGCTAGCCTAAAGGTCAACGGTTCAAAACTACCAGCTGTTCGATGAGACTTTCTGCTTTTGGAAAGATTTACAGCCTCAGAAACCCTGTACAGGGTCACTATGAGTTGGAACCAACTCCATGGCATATAACCACCACCACCACATCCATAAGTTAGGTCACTTCATCATATTGTAGCAATTTACATTTGTTTCCTTTATAAAAAAAAAAAACTTTTTTTTTAATCTTTCTCTAGTCCAGTTCTGATCATCAAGCCATCAAAGCTAGGTCAAATGGATACTATCTACAAGTTTGGGTGTTC